TGTGGTCCCTTGTCCACCACACCCTGTTATTCCCTTATTCCACTTCCCCTTTCACTCTGTTACGCCCCAACCCTAGACTGGGGCTCGTAACACATGATTTTAGTAATTTATAAATACATTAATCACAAATAATAATGCATTCATAAAGCGTTAAACATCAGTATAGGTGCTGTATTTATGAAAAGGCATAACACTTTGTAGTCGTGTATTGTGCATTATAAATTCTTTATGAAGCTCTCACCTATAATGCATTATAGATACCTTATAAACACTATAACGTGATATGCCTTTTTATAAATATTTATAGTCATGTTTATGCTATATGAATGCATTATAATGTATTATGAATGTGTTTATAAATTACTAAAAACATGGCCTTAAAGAAAGTGTTACAGATGTATTGCTTCTTACAACTTGTTTGTTTTATTAAATAGCAGTTGGGTCTGTTAAATTGTACAGCACTTTGGATTAACTATTGCTGTGTTTAAATGTGCTATATAAATAAACTTGACTTGACATTAATGAAATCCTGGGGAGAAGTATATCTGTGACTGTATTTAGATTTGGTAACCAAATTTGCAATAGGGTCCTTTTTATCTTGTGAGTCTAGTGAACAGTTATCCTGTGGAAAACTGCATGAATAAAATGAACAGAATTGAAACAGAACAATGAGGAAGTCAACAGGCCATGTTTGGTGAGTATTTCCTCAGTCGCATTGCTGTGCCCCCCCAAACAGCAGCTCTTGTTAGTATCTTGGTTTTTGCTCTGAGAGAATCTTTCTTTTCCCATCAGGAAAACTCAAAGAGAACTAAAAAATGTTTTATGATTCAGTACTTCCAAAGCCCACGCATGCAAAAAAATCCCTTATGATTCCAGAAAAAAAGAGAATGAGATTCCTCTCTCTGGTTTTACGTCAGATTGGCAACTGGAACCATCATGAATTTGTACAGATGATTATTGTTTAACTCAAGGGTTCCTCTGTGTATCTGTGCCCCGAAGCTGGTCCAGAGTCCTCCTGTATTGAATAGCACTGTTGTCAAAGACGTTTCTTGTCAGGAAGGAACATACAACAGCGGGTTCCTCTTCCCTCTCTGACACTTTCTGTTTCACACAGTCTTTGAAGATGACAACATTTTAGGTCCAGGTTCATAAAAGACCAAAGCAGATAACAAACCATCTGAGGAATACTATTCCCACTTTTAACAAATGCATTTTTATATCACACAATCCAAAAAATGACCAAATATAGCAACCCGAATTATTAGGGAAATATATTGGAGACAGATATTATTAATCATTAAAATTATTTTGTTTTGGCATATGTTTTATACTACAACTTCCTACTCCAGCGGGAAGCAGTAAGACCCTCTGTAATTGTTTGCTGACGAGCCGTGTGCTCTTTAGCCCATGTGCCGTCAGCTGATATGGATATACTGTCTGACATATAAAACCCATCACTCAGCAGAGAATGCCTGTTGCTGTTTCTTTCATGTTCCACGGTCCATGTGGATCGAGCTTCCGTGGCATCCCAGCATCCTTTGCCTGAAGTTCGCCACCGGGTCTGCACCTACGGAGTCATTTAACACCCATGCTAAATATTAGTGGGGGGGGGGGGCTTGTTTGAAAATAGCAGAGCACTCTCTGTCCCACGAGGTATGTACACAATGGAGGACACAATCCCATGGCAGAAGACTTGGCATGCTGCAAGAAAGCTGCCCCCCCAATACAGGCCAGCCTCTGCATTCCGCTTTTTCAGTGGTATTACGCAATATGTTTGGCTTTGGAGTATGTATGGATATACCAGTGTCTCCATTTTACTCGCTTAACTCTATTTATCACATCTCAGATTTAATATAATGTGAATCAAAATTAGCTACATGGTTGGGCTGTGAATTTGTGGATTTGTTCTGGATCGTTCTTGTCCCTGCTACAGGCCTGCTTTCCCTGAGGACATGGCTCAGCTTTGGCCCAGATTCAAGGCTTCACCGCAAGCAGAACCCGATCTTTGTGTGTGTGTGTGTGTGTGTGTTTTATTGGTTGAATTCCCATGTTCTTGCAACTGTAGGTTTTGCAGTATACGACACTTTTTCGCCCCTGGAGTTGGCTGGGTAATCAGCTGTTACTCTTTTCAGAAAGTAAGGAGTCAGTGGAATGATCATGCTGGAAATATCTTCAGTGCCACATCTTGACGGAGACACATTATTTTTCTAGGGACCAATTCTGGATATTCTGCCAATGTGTGAATCCAATTGCACCCCTGATATTACTGACACAGAGCTTTATAATTGATGGGTCAGAATTGCTTCCTTCAAGATGAGTGTTCTACTGCTATTATTCATATCAGGCCCCTCCCAGAATTGTGTGAGGTATTTTATCAGCAGGTTTAATGATAATAGATATTTTTTTGATCCCGTGGGGAAATTCTCTCTGTGCATCCCCCACCTAGCTCTCAGTAGGTGAGAGTAAGCTGGCCACGATGTTTGTGAGCGTGGAGTCATTTGCGAAGGTGGACTCCAACTTCAGAAGAGAAAAAAATGCACATACCAAAATTGCTTTGTTTCTTATACTAAAAAAACAACTGCAAGAACTGAACATATGCAATGAATTTCCATGGACTTGTAAAACTTGTACTTCCACTGTAGTCTTTGTATAAGTGAGGTAGGACACCCAGCTGTGATGCAACTGACTACCATGTACTGGCAAGTGGTCATATGCGGGTAAAAACACAGATTACTTCTCTCTGCCAGGCTGGTCATCCTAGCAGCTTTGAGACAATGCATCACCAGACTGTAGCCATTTCCAATGCCTCATAGCTGCTGACTTAAAGTCAATGTATGGGGGTTTCTGTGTTTACATAAGGTATGTGTGTGTGTGCGTGTGTGTGTGTGTGTGTGTGTGTGTGTGCATGTGTGTGTGTATGTTATTATACATTAATGTCAGATATTACTTGATTATGTGATTATAATGTTTGCTATCATATGATGTTTGTTGTTAATGTATACTGCAGCTGTTAAAGTATGTTAGGATGTTAAGGTATACTTACATGCTGCTTATGAATGTTCTATGAATGCTAAAGGACTTTGTAACCAAAAAGGACTTTATAACCAAAGTCATTAAAAATCTATAATTCCTCCTGAACCTTTGATAGCCATAGAAATTATGTTTACATAGTGCACTTAGAACAGGTGCGATATCTTTTTTAACTTTTTTAAAGGCAAACATAAATATAGACTGCAATAAGCTACGCAATGCGGTACAGCGAATTATTATTTTCGTGCTCAGGCCCAGCAATGTTTAGACAGTTGACCTTGGTCAATGCGTAGCTATTGATCACTTACCTTCATACCCTTGTCACTGTTACTGTAAATGACACTTGCAGAAGCAGAAACACTTGGTACAGAAAAGTGTCAGGAATGCAGGACTCAGTCGGCATTACCCTGTTTCCTGGGCCTAGGCCAAACCCTCTGTTATTTCTAGAGCAGTCCGTCAACACTTGGCAAATGCTGACCCAAAAGACATAGTGGTGCTTACCTCCCCACGGTATTGGGCAATTTCCTCTCTGTTCACCAGCTGAGCCAAGCTATCCCTGGGTTGTCCGGCTCCCCCTATGATCTTAATATAACTTCCATAATGATATTTCATTAGTGTCAACTTTCTCATTGACCTCTGCAGACTACAGTTTTCCCCCTTAGAAAGTTTAAGTTTTCCTCTATTGATCTGAATATTTATTTGCTTAATGCATCCATTCTGTTGTCTTGGCATTGCCATGGATCAATCTGTACGCAGTATCTTTTTCTTTAATTACTCATTGCTTTAAGGTAGCAAAGCCAGGGTAAGGCTTAGTGGTGTCTGGCTGCTTTGTGAAGGGCATAGACTAATGTCACCCACCATGATGTGCATGATAACATTAATATACTGTATAAGGGGCACTACAAAGGAAATTTTGAATCACAACTGTACGGAGTCGACCTAAACCCACAATTTCTGTACAACTTTCACTGGGCACACTCCAACCTCCCAGCACTGATTACAGCACCTGCTGCTCCATGACAGCTCTTAGTCACTCTACCCCAGCTTGCACCGAGCTGGACACTTCAGCTCATTAGAACACCAGTGAATGTCATGTTCATCGCCTCCAAAATTATTCATTTCACGCCCCCTCTGGCCCCCATGCACTCGATTTCAGTTGGATCTGTATCTGGTGCTAGCAAGCTGAGCCATCCGGGGATCTGCAGCGCTCTACCCCCCGAGGTTCATCAAAGTTTATGCCTTTTCTATACTGCCTGCTTAGTCGTTTAATGTTGGAATTAATGTTATCTCATCAATGACTTCCTGTAGTTCCTCTTTATGCTTTTTTTGCATAAAAGCCAATTAATGATTTTGAATGTAAATACAGTGAAACTGCAGCCAAACAGTCATACTTGTCGCTATGTAATATTAATGCACTCTTATAGGCTGTATAGTCAGACATTTGCACAAGACATCTTGACATGTATGTATACATGTGTGTGTGTGTGTGTGTGTGTGTGTGTGTGGATTAGGTTTATATTACTTTGTGGGGTCCAGATGTTGTTGGGACCATTTTTCGGGTCTCTACAAAGATCTGTGAATGTAATCAAAAAAATAAATATGCCAAGTCATATTTATTGGTTACTTATGGTTAAGGTTAGGGCTGGGTAGGGCCTAACTTGGTGAAACTTCATCCTTGTTCTGGATAAGATGCCTGTTTTGCTGATAATTTGATCACATTTGTTCCTCAGTATCCCCCCTTCCACCCCAGTGTGCCCTGCTGTGTCTGATCAGTGATGCCTAACCTTCACCAGGACAAGAATATGACTTCAGGTTAATGACACGACCCATTTGCCTGAATGCTTTCCTCACTGATTTTGCATAATGTAATATTTTATTTCAAGATGCACCTTCGAGGCCCTGCGCCTGTTTACCACGTTTGTACATGTTTGTGTGGCACTAGACACCCTGGAAATCATTACATCACAACATTTCAGGTACACGTATGTTTATTTTAAAATGTAATTTTCTGCATATATACCATGTGTGCCACATAACCACATATGAATACATTTTATTCTTATTGATTTACTGACAAGATATTGTCTTAAAAATACTTTTGCAAAAATAGTGATATATTTTAATGCAGTATTTGAGTTCAGTTTTATTCACTGGTAAGCCTCAAGATATTAACCTGACAATGTGGATATGGAAGAAAAATACCCTAAAAAATGCAGGTTTTGCCATAACACTATTGAAATAAAGTATATTTGCATGTGTGCTTACCTATTTATGTGTACATTTCTTGATATATATACACACACAACAGACCTATACTAAAGATAATAATAAAAGTACTATCTGTTAAAATGCTGTACAAAGTGCTCATAGCTGCTCGTGGTTCTGTCACATACAACATCGACATCACTGAAAGTTCTGGAAAAAAAAAAAACTATCTAGTGAGAATATTTTTCAATATTCTCCATAAGGCATCATTTGTAAGATGTAACAATAATTGACAAACAGTAGAATATTCCTATTTTAAAAATGATCATGGGGGAATCCAAGATTTTCACTGGCCTCCAAAAGATGTCATAAATAACATGTTCAGCTAGTTTCTGTAAAGCACCGTCACCCAAACCGTTTTATAGTGTGTAGGGTCATGAACCCTGGGTATGCAACATACAAAGACCTGAATACCCTGGAGACTAAATTAAGGCTTTGTATTATGCTAAGGCCTAAATCCCACAAAGTAATCTGCCACAGTTTTTGATTTTTCTTACCAGCTGGGAGAATAACTTGCAGGATAAAGCACATTTTGACTCAGGCATATGTAAAAGGTTTATGGAAATAAAAGACCCTCGACTTGTTTGCATAAACATCAAAAAGAAAAAATCACCTGATGCTAGTTTAACAAATTCCCCTTTTATATGAACTGGTAGTGCCAATGGCAGGGTCAGTGGTTGATATCAGAGTTGGGGTCATTCCGGAATGCATTTTTCAATTCCAATCCAAATCAGGATAGGGAACTGGAGTTGGAATTTAAATCTCCCTGAAATTTGAATTCAATTCCAGTTCTGTTCCCCATAGTTTTTTTTTCCCCCAATCCCAGTTCCAGTTGCATTTCCTGATTTGGATTGGAATTGACAAATGCATTCCGGAATGACCCCAACCCTGCTAGATATCCTGTGCCCCCTGGCAAAAGCTCACTGTGGTATAGCCCAAGGCCCCCGTCCATGTCTGGGAACCAGGAATCATTCAGGGTTTTGCTCCTGGCCAGGGGGGTTCTTATCATTCAGATTCAACTTTAATACTGTTGATAATGGACATACCAGCAGATGGTTCTCTCCGGCCATTTTGACCTGCGCATGTATTATGCAAATGAGCACCTGTTACCTATTTTGTCACTTCACCAGAAGAACCATACTTCGTACTGGCAGTGCTCGTCTTTTCACGGCTGTAGTCATAATATAAAACACAAACTGACCAAACAACTGTGCTTCAAAAGTTTGAAATGGTCATCACATAGTTAGATCTCCACCAAGATCTGCAGTAGAAATCCAGAGGACAACATATAAGTAAGAACGTGTCGCCATCCCCTTTGGGGTTTCGAGTGGGTGAGTAGAAGCTGGATTCCTCATCAATCGGCTAACGTGGTCCAAAGAGACAGGGTATTCCAGACAAACATGGCTATGGCCAGAGAAAAATCTAGATTCTTCCAAATTGGTTTACCTATCCAGTGCTTTTATTTCTGCTTCTGTTCAGTGCCACTAAAGGTGGGGAGTGGTATTCCATTACCCCTTCACTGCCTCAGAAAGGCAACGTGTCCATAAAGATTCTGTCCAGTATTGGAGGTGGAGGGACCAGATCCTCCAGTTTCAGGTAAAAGATGCGCTGGAGACCCTGCGTGCCCAGAGTCCGCAGCTCCGGCAGCTTGCTCAGCAGCCGGGACAGGTAGTTCGGCCGACTCGACTCGGTGCAGCTGCCGCTAACGTGGTCCTTAAGGCAAGAAATCAGGCGACTTTGGAACTCCTCCACGCGCTTAGGCTCCTTGAGGCCGTGGCGATCTGAAAGCGATGAGAGAAGTGAGGGTTTAAACCACAAAGAGGAGCATTGAGGTGGGGGAGGGGTTAATGTGGGAGGCCCTTTTGCTTTTGGTGTTACAGAGCAACACTGTCATCATTGCAAAAAGTGCTGTGCTGTAATCAGATTTTACCTTGATAGATGGGTATCCAAGCAACGTACAACTAGCAGTAATTTAGAAAATAATATCGAGTTGCTCTTGCCCTAGGTAGTTATTTAATATTCAACTGTGACAGCTTGATCAGGCAATGTTGCCTTAAAAGTTCAGGCCACGTGTATATTGAATCTGAGTCCAGTCCTACCTATTATGATGACAAGGGCAGCGAGGCAAGAGAACGAGGCCACATCCAGGTTCATGCGGTGAAGACTCTGCGAAAAGTCTATGATGGAGTCAATCCAGTCTCCAAAGCCTCTTACACACTGCATCCGGTGAAGAACCACACCGTTACAGAAGATCAGCTTGTCCTTCTCAGGGATCGATCTACAGAGAGGAAAAAAAAACACAAATTAATTTCAAGGGCCACCATCACCAACGAGAATAATTGTAGATCTTTTTATGTCTTAAGTTGAAAGAAAATATTTCATGTCTTCAATTAAGCATCAGGAACCTTATAATAAGAAGATGAAGTATAAGTATTAGTCAGTTATGATGTATAAATGCATTTTAAAATGTAACGTTTAACTTTTCCATAGTTTAACCAGGACTAATGATGTCGTTGAATATAGGTTTCATTAAAAGTGAGCTCTCATGTCCAATGAGCTGTATTGCACATATTTCTGTTCATTTGTTGTTTATCGGATGAACATACAAAGCAGTGCTAGTTTGGAGCATTTGTGAGGTCGCACCTATATGCTAGACGGAGTATGAAGAGTTCCACAAAAGCAGAGTCCAGGAGAAGCTGCTGGTCTTCGGGGCAGAAGGCAGTGAAGCCTGGTATCGTCTCCGCCCATTTGCGAATCACGTCCATAGAGTCCGTTAGCAGGTCATACAGCTGCTGAATGTCGCTGGCATCCTCCTTTTCTGAGAGATTGGCAATGGTCTCTTTGTACTGGTAATCGGTCAACAAAAAATAAAATTAAGTCTGATATTCTTCAACAATTAGTTTTAAATTAAGTTACTTCTAATAACTCTAGATCTTAGCCATCACGACCTAACTGCATCAGCACAAGCATGCATCTCACCTTGGAGTAGTCTAGCTTCCCAGTGGCAGGATCAGAGTCATTGTGCGCCTTGACAAGGGAGGCAATGATATTGACTGTAGGAGCTGCTGATGAACTGTCATTGACGTTCTTCGGTTTGGAGGGAAGGCGACCCCTACGTCCTTTCAAACTGTCTGTTCGGACCACTGTAGAGAAGAGGTGCAATAATGGGGGAAAATGGAAAACATTGAGCATCCCTGAGAGTGCCTAAAAGTGCCTTAAGCCATATTGGGTCAGGTCAGGTTGAGGAGCGTGCACTGTTAATATCAAAGTCAAAAAACTAACTCAGAATACAAAATCTGTACCTTCTTTCACCATGCCTACAGCCAGGCACTTCTGGAAACGGCAGAACTGACAGCGATTCCGTCGCCGTTTGTCCACAGGGCAGTCCTTGTTGGCAAGGCACACATATTTGGCATTTTTCTGTACTGTGCGCTAAAAACAAAGAGGAGGGGTTTGATCTACCATTGGCTGTTTCTGCCTTATTCAACGATAAAATGGTAATATTGCCAAAACGTTGCACCACACAGAAGCCTCAAAAGATATTTTGTGGGTGAACTGCAAAAATTCCTTCAAATGTGTTTCATATACCAACATTCAGTATGGTATCAAATACATTTGAGAAGAAATAAGTGACTTTTTGAGAATATCTATGAAAAAGAGATCTTGAAAAAGGAAGTCAGACTTCTTACCTTAAAAAATCCCTTGCAGCCTTCACAAGTGCGCACTCCATAATGCTGGCAGGATGCACTGTCTCCACACACAGCACAACGGCCCTCATTCCCACTGGGGCTGCGCACTTTCGGGGATACAGGCTCCTCCATCAGAGCAGAGCCATCCAGGGAACCTGGACCCATGGGAGCGAAGGGCAGGGCCGAGGCGTGCTGCTGAGGATGGGAGAATGGCTCCCGGTCCGTTAGAGAAGGCTGCTGCTGGCCCACAGGGGATGGCTGCTCCACCGGAGGACTGAACGTGAAGAACGATGGCGGCTGGGTCAGCGTCGTCTTGTCAGGCACCCAACAGGCAGCACCAGGGGAGTAAGAACTAAAAGGAGAATCCCAGGCCGACACCGGCTGGCTCTGGAAGCTGGGAGTGGAAGGAGAGGGTGCGGAGGCAGGGCTGCCATAGTAATCTGAACCACAGGAGGAGTGAGTCTCATCCAGGTAACTCAGGGAAAATGTGCCAGGGTAGCAGCCATAGACCTGGAAGTCATCCATCTTGAATGGTGATGGCTGACTAGCGGTAACATTAGTGGAAGCCACGGGGGAGGAAATTTGGCATGGGTAGGCATCAAATTCGCCCGCGTAGCTGCCCACCAAGGAGTTAATGCTTGGCAAGGAGGGTGTGGAAGGTTGATCCTGCTGGCCACCTATGTCCATGGCCAGCTTGGCAGTGATGTCGGTACTCAGGAATTCAGAGATGTAGTAGTTGTTCTCATAGGGCAGAGTTCCATACTGAGCTTCAACACAGGTCATTTCTACAAAATAAGTAGAAGTTTTTTGTTTTTATTTACACATTTTTTTACACAAGAAAGAACACTCCCCGCTACCAGCAACATTTCCCATCACCGCGATGAAATGCAAGGAAATCGAGGATCAGCACTGCACCATACATTAAAGGCTCCAGAAAGAACCTCCCGCAGACGTCTGCTGCATCAGCCGCTTCAGCACTCTGGCCAAAACTCCGTGCTTCACCTAATATGACCCAATCAAAATCCTTATCTCATCCATGACCGAGCCAAAAATTTATTTTTGATTCTCAGACGTGTTATAAGAGCAGTCTTCTGTAAAACTGTTCAATTATTTAACAAACTGTACGCTTGATTCAAGAGTTAATGTTGGTCACATTATTTTGTTTCAGAGCAATCTAATTAACCACTGAACTTAAAACCGCAAAACTGCAAAAGTAGACATTTCAATAAATCACTAAAATTATCTGCCGTTTTCTTTACTAAATTTCATAATTGTGGATATGAATTTCAAATTTGCGCACACCATAAGCATAGCTAAATATAAAGCTTCCCCTTTAAAAAACTGAAGATGCAGGTGATATGACTTCAGAAATGCATGCATGTTTGAATTTTAAGCGGATCTTCAATCGTAAATACACTAGAGTTAAGGACCCCTTACCATGAATGCATGATCACATAAGTAACTAAGAACTAAGGCTCAAGATTCAAAATGTTCTCCTCAAGATTTTCTCTCCCCTTTTATTACATCGGCAGATGATTGCCCCAAAAGCATGTCCCTTGCAACTGCTCTACATACCCAGGTTAAAACCCCATGCCTAGAAGTCAAATTAAAGGACAAAATTACTCGGCAACACCCTTATCTAGAGATCCCGAGAAATTTTACTTTCACCTCACCTACACGACTTAATTGTTTCCCATTTTCCTCAAAGCGCACACAATCCAAAATCCGAACGCCTACCCTTTCAGTTACCAATACTACAGAAGCTATTTTAAACCTGAATCTGATCATCCACACCAGTTCTGAACACAACCCAAAGATAAAAATAACAGTGACCTAGGAAGGTGGTGCGAATATAATGACCTACTATGTGACACGAGAAATTCTCTGGGCGCATTCCATGAAGCTCAGTAACCGAGGGACCTGCAGATCTTCCCACTGCAGATCCATGTGCGATCTGAGGTCAAATGTTAGCGTTCCAAATTTCTCCAGTGCACGTTCATTTCAATTAAATAGTTCAATTGCAAATTTAAAACTTAACGTGATTTTATAATACTGGATATAAGTGTGTAATTTATTTCGCTACTTAATACGTATTTTAAAAATGAAATATTCGGATGCATCACTCATAAAAGTTGACAACTCTCTCATTAAAGAAACGAATTTTGCGTTGCTTCCAAAGCGCTGGAAGTTATTAGCACGTTTTATCGTGCACACTACAATCCGCGAGGCACTGCAACCATTAACGTGAAGGGGAGCGAACAGACTGACAGTTCGACGCTGGTCTGAGGTGGAAAACTAAAGCTGAGTTTACTAAAGTAAGAGCGATTCATTGATTGTTTGACTTAGAACAACGTAAACAAGTTTGGATTTCTACGTTGCTTGGGATTCATCCATCCAAAATGTAACAAAGCTATCACTTGTCAAAAGAAGACGTACATATTATTAGAACTCGGTAAAGGGAAATCGTTTTCATGGTGACAGTGACAGTTCGTAATTTTCAATGGTCCGACTCAGAATTATGTTTTTGGTTATTCAACTCGGTAACAAACTTGCTAAAGTCAATTGTAAGTTGTGTGAGCCTCCCACTTGTAAGCTATACATATTCAAACTGGAGATTCATTCACTCTGATGCGGCGTGCATGGAAAGTTAAATGACATAAACATCGTTTAAAAGTACGGTAAAAATCGACAATTTGCAGAACATATACTGATAACCCATACTATTATTATATCATTTCACTTTTCCTTTGAAAACATTGCGATTCAGATATATATATATATATATATATATATATATGACATCGCATTTACAGATTGCTAGCATGAATGATTGCAGCAGCTAGTTACACATGGAAACGCTGTCGAAGTTACCCACCTGCTTTATTCTCTTAGAACGGATTTTAAGCCATATGTCTGTATTCCAAATAACAAAGAATCTATGCGATCGTCGGCAAACTCCTTCACGCAACCTGTTTAGTGGCGCCCAGTACAGTGCTTCATGACAATTTATAGTCAATTTATTTTTCCCGTGACGTCAGGTGTTCCACGAGCCATAGATGGCAGTGCCGGGGCGGAGAAGTTTCCAGTGGCGAGCCAATGGGGTCGCTCTCAGTCAGAAGTCCTCGTGGCTGACGCAAACGTGGGATTCCATTGACGTAAGAGAACGGTCGATAGACTGTTCTAAAATTAGCCTCCCGACTACTAGTATTAGGCTGCAACAAATCAGTTAAAAATAGGTTCACATTGAAACTAACAGAAATATATTTTTTAAATTATCAGTCCTCACGTGCAGAGTTCGTAACTTGTTTCTTAGTAATACAAAATATGTTTAATTACAAAGGTAGCTCAAAGTACAGTACTTGAACTAAACCACGAAAGTTTCGTCCAAAGTAGGAACAGGATACATCCTTTCAATACTGATAAAGGTTAACTACCCAATAATAAATGCAAGTGGAAATGCAAGAAACTAAGAATCCACACGCAAAAAGGCACATGAGTAAATGGTAAGGTTTTATTTCTGGGACATTTTCATGGTCGTAATTTATATGTTTAATATTCAACAACTTAAGCTGGAGGACGAGGGCAGTGTGTCTCAAAATTCTGAGATCCGTTTTAATACCCATCTATTAACACCATATTTCACAGTTACAATGCTGTCCTTGCACATTCAAAACTCAATTGACAGTATATGTTTTAGCTTTCAGTATCATCAAAGGCTTGACTAGAGATGGTTGACATTTACAGGCTGCCTTCATTTACTGTTAAAACAAAAATATTGAAACATTATATTTAACACAGAAGTCCAAATGGGGACATATATACTTCTGTTAGGACATATCTTTTGTCCACGTACTGAGTCCGCAATCACTCAATTTACTCTCCTGATAACAGAATACAGTCGTCAAAATTGACTTCACTATGAGAGTTATGATCGAATTCATAATTTCTTTTGCTTGATATTTTTGTATGCCATCAGTTACCATTTGTTTCAGAAGTCTTCATTCCTAGTTCTAGTCAGCTGTCTGTCCATATATTCCTTCTGACTAAGCGCTTAAGCACTTAGTCAGAATTATTAACAGGTGAAAATGAGCTGGACAGTATGTACACAGTGAAGAGTTCGAGAACTGGGAATGAAAACCTCTCAAAACTTTGCCTATGGGAAAACACGGCATAAATATCCCCAAATTATCACATAATTCTTTGTACATGCTACATTCACCCATCTATATCCTGACTGCAGAGCTATGGAACTTAAGCAATATAAGTTATTTGAATTTCTTCCTCACTGGCTATGCCAATATTTTAAAAAGCATTAGAAGTCAATATTTGGCCATGTGCTGGTGGTGATCGCTATAATGTCGACCATCTAGTTAAAATGATGTGTGTCATGGTCTGGGATAAATTAGCTGGTAAAATAATATTCAGTACTCGTAGTCAACATGTTGAAGGCAGGAGACATGGGGCAGGGATTTAAGATTTGAGTAACTTTGACAAGGACAAAATCACTATGGCCAGACAATTGGGCCAGAGTATTTAGAAAATGGCGAAGCTTATGGTGCTCATGGTCATGATGATGAGAAGCTACTAAAAGTGGTGCAAGGAGGAGATAACCATGAACACACAGAGCCCTGATTCGCATGAGCAGGCCAGTCAGAATGTCTGTGCTGACCCCTGTCTACCACGGAGATCAGCACAAAAGTGCCAACCTTAGAGCATGGGAAGGTCTCCTGGTCCAATAAATCCTGTTTTCTGTTGCATCACGTGGGCGGTTGCATACGTGTCTGTGGGATGGGCAGGACCGACAAGTCTGACTGTGGCACATTACTCCCATGATGATCAGGATTATCTGCAATTCGTGCCATAGTAGCTCTTCTATTGGTTTGTACCACACAGGATAGCCCTCATTCACATCTCGCATCAGAGCCAATCAGATCTTTATTCCTGCTTACTTCTGCATTCAACATGTTGAAAACGACTTCTGAGCATTAGGATACTGTCTAATACATTTTACAAAATAGACAACAGTATTCACTTTGACATAACTTAACTTGGGGTTACATATATATATATACATACATACATACATACATACATACATATATATACATATATATATATACACATATATATATACATATATATATATATATATATATATAATAAAGGTATATTTTATGATACCTTTACTACATAATAATAAATACTCAAAATTTATACAGACAAGAAATATCCATATCGACAATGCACACTGTAGATTAGACGTATTCTAATGCTCATTGTTTATTAAGCTTCAAAGATGGAAACATTCCACAGTAGGCTATAGGGGGATTTTTGTCTGTAATGTCTGTAATAACAGTAGTATTGTGATTAGTGCCATTAGTTTAGTGTCACTTGAAAGCACTAACACAGGTGACGTTTTTTCAATATACATGTAAAAAGCAAATACAAATTTGTTTATTTCTAAAGAATCCACATTCAAAAAAATACAACCAAGTTTGAAGCCCAGGTCAGTCACCGATTGCAATCAAATTTACCAATACAATGCATGGTTTACTTCATAATTACTGACAAAATTTCATTGCATATTTGAAAATATTTTCAACATTCTTTAAAATTGTGCAAAAGGTCCAGAATACTGAAACACTGCATGCCTGTCTAATGTTACATACACCCTCCATATTTGCAGGGGACGGCATGTAGGACACATGGCTGACACCTTACTGCGATGAAAGAGTAATTTCCTGAAAAAAAAAAATGCAATAATGTTAGAGTTGCAGAAAAGTGGATTGTTGGTGTACACAAAAATGTGACTTATGGCAACGATGATTACAGTGCTGCACAACATGCACCTGATTTTAACTGATTTACTTATCAGCAGGAGCAGCGTGGTGACTCAGTGAACAGCACCGCAGGGACTGGGGATTTGATTCCCATCCCCGCTTTGTGTGCGTGGAATTTTCATCATGATTCCCTTATCACACGGATTTCCACCATAGCTAAATGCTAACAGGCTAACTGGAGCCTCTGAATTACCCATAATGTGTGGTTATGAGAATATGCTCTGCCATGGACTGGACAGGGTGTACCCCAGTTTGAAGCTGCCTGCTATAGGCTCCAGCCCCCCAACCCTAGCCAGGATAAGCTGGTAGAAGATGGATGGTTAGTGATTAGGAGAAGCGTTTCACCTACTGACCCACAGATCCCTGCCTATTTATTAGGTTTGACTTGCCATTTTATTTGTGATCCTTCAGAAACCTGACATCCTACAGCCAGTATTTACAGATCCCCAAGCTCCCCATCTTACTTTATGAAGAGTAAACAGACCTGCGATCATGTTCCTGTCCATGACTGCTGTCCACTCTTCAGCACCCAGGCCATGGGGTCCATGTCATCCACGCCTGTCAGTATCGGCTCTGCAATTGTTGGTGACATTTCAGAGAGTGCAACAGCATCAATCAACACACTTGTGTCCCCGGGGGAATCTCAAGCCTGCTGTGCCACATCCCAGTTTAACTCCCTTTATCAGATTAGTTTAGAAAGCCAGACAATGCCTCTCTCCCAGTGATTCCCTGAGCCAACTAAACTCTTGGAAAACAAGCAAAACATAATCACTGATGCAATTCAAGGTTCCAGCTCCTACTTGTGTATTGAGCACATTCATCTTAACTAGGGAGAATTTCGATGCTGACAAAGGAAAAGCAAGTTAACTACCCAATACTAAATGCAAGTGGGACTGCAAGAGACTAAGAATCCACACACAGAAAGGCACACGAGTGAATTTTAAAAACGTTGTATGACCGCCCACGTTTAGTAAAGCTACACTTTTCAGTGAAAATACCAAAAAATAAGATAGGTCTGGTGAAATTAAAGTGTTTTAATTACCCCATAGTGAATGGGAGAACAAAATCCTGCTTTTTTTCTCCCAAAGCTACGGGCTAGGTTGGTCTTTGGGGTTTGCAGCTCATGCAGGCATATCAGCTCGGCCAGACGGGGCAGAGGCGGCCGCCCTCACAGGCTCCGCCGCACGAGAACAGACTCAGCTGTCAAAGACCGACGCCAGTTTCCGACAGCAGCGCGGTAGCTACCAAGGCATATAAATACTAGATGGAACCAAAATATCCGAAGTCAGGATTATGAGATTTTACAACGGCTTCCTAAAAATACCATAGATCCAGAAACATTCATTATTAATATTCAATAAATAATCGTTGCTCAAAAGAGGAACTAATGACGCCCCCACACAACATCCGCATGCTACGTTTGTTAGATTACTTTTATTCAGCAGACGCTTTTGTCCATATATATGTCGTATTATAAAATAATGGTCTTATATAACATGTAAGTTGTAGATTAAATGTTTATACACAGCAAGTCAACTTACTTGCCTGTAAAAACTAACACGGCAAACGCAGACGAGACCGGAACCTACCGCACCAGCCCCCGCATCACTCATCCTTTTCCCCTGAATACTCCTCTTTCTTTTTTTTCACTTTATATGTTATTGGCATCCTTAAAAGGGAGCGGAGCGCAGAGGGAATAAACACTGCGCTCCACTTGAAATCTGATCCTAATGCTTTGGCGCTTTTCCTCTGAAAGTACGCCACTTTTCCACCCTGTTACACCGGACGACTCTTCCTCCCTCGTAAGAGAAAAAACCCATTGAGACGTTGATCTTGGTCAAAACACTGGGGGTTGTCTCTCCGATTACGTCAATACGGATCCTTACTGACGCTTTTGGAATCCCGGTGCATGACGTCAGTACGCCCATAAGGCTGCCTGTAAAACAAGGGGAAAAGTCAGTTCCTGAAATAAAAAGCTGCGGAGGCCGTAATCCTGCGTCTTTCACTGTGGATAACCTGCCATTCTTTCTGCACATCAATAATAAACGTTAACAGCGATAATTACGGCTAACATCATTCTCAGATTTTCCTGCGTGGTCGGAAACGCGCGGTAGATCGGGGTCTGCCACTGCAGCTTCGGAGAACCACGGTTGTATGACTTTCACTTAAATTTTTAATTTCCGGTTGAATTTAGCCTTATCGCGTGGCAAAATGGAAATACAAATTAACAAATTTTAACCTGTAAATTCGAGGGATAAAAACGTCTACAAGCAAATTCACGTTTGCAATAGGAACCTAATAAAACTTACCACAATTCGTTCCATGTACTTGAGCTGTACGTATGATCGCTAGAGCTATTTATGTAAAATCCAATTTGTTACATATTTAGACCGGATAATACCAAACGTGTATATTTGATAAATTATCATGGCGAAATTAAGTAAAACATCAATGAACAACTAACTGTGAAATTAACATTTTTGCATTTTTAAAGCTTTTTTTTCTATTACAGGTACATAGACATTCTTTAGTTTATGCATACTCGGCTGCTCTCCGCTGAAGACAAAGAGCAACTTTTTCTGGGGTCAAAGGTGAGCGCAAGCCAGTGTGCAGCACTCCTGGAATAGTTGGGGTTCAGGGATTTTCTCAAGGGGTGATATACGTCACATAAGAGTCTTAAATGGGAAAAATAGTTACACATAGTATTCAGTGCAATTAATAATACTCTGTTCTTCTTCCTTCATATGTCAAAGTGCAGGTAGAAGCCTGTGCACAACTGATTTGCTTACTTTGTCACACTTAGAGGTAACATTCTTTGGATTAAGTGCATAGTACAGCTAGTGTGATATGACTTTTTTACATGCCATGTCACCTACAAAATTCACTTCAAATGTCAAGCTGAAAGACTGAGTGTATTCATGTTTAGTTTAATTCTTCCAGTTGATACAGGTGTACTCAGTGTATTGATTTTTATACTGCAACACCGCAACCAATCGTGTTTCAATATTTAGGATGTGTACAATCTAAAATCCATTCTTTAAAACACTGCTATTATTTCCTGGTTTAGTTATGGTCCCATAACTAGCTTGGGTGGTGTTTCCTGTTTCAGTTCCTTTGGCAGTTTTAGCAAAGTAAAGAAATTATCAGCTGTGATACGATATGACAGTACCATTAGCATGAAACCATATATATATATATATATATAAACAAACACAGACAGACACACACACACACACACACACATATATATATAATATATATATATATATATATATATATATATATATACACACACACACAGTACTGTGCAAAAGTCTTAGGCAGCCAAAGAAAATTATGTTTAATTGATCTTTATGTTGGTGTAAAACTATTATGCCTGTCAGAGTGTGTTAGCTTAGCCATTTCAAAACCTCTGCTAAAATCACCCCATTATTTCCATCAGTCCAGCCATGTACTTTTTGACTCAACCACTAGCTCACCTCGTATAGCTGATCAATAATCTCACTGACTTTTAAAAACTAATTAGGTTAATTAATCAATATATATATATATATATATATATACACACACACAAACACTCACATACATACATTACATGCACACACACATACACACAACACAATAAATATATTATTTGTACCATGAGGCCAAGGAATTTTGCCTCCTTATAATAGTTTGTTATCTCAGGTAAAGAGTTCAGAAGATGTATAAGGTGCATTTAAAATGACATTATGTACCTGCACCAGCACATATAGCCATTACATGTTTCGCTTTGGACATCACACTTCACCATCTGTGGACCTGCCTGAGTGATTTACTGCTGCACCCAGCAGCTGCTGACCACCATCTTCTGCCACAGGCTCATCCACTTCCCCTAGGCAGCAGTTTTATGGGCTGCCAGGCCAAGCTGGTGCCCCAGAGTTCCCAGAGAGCCGTGACTATTGATGGCCAATCGCCTGCAACCTATGCATGGCACTCTGTTTACACTGGATAACAGGTGCAAACCCTTTGTCTGGGGGGAAAGGTGGTTTGTTGAAAGAACCACCTTGTTGTTTACAACTCTTGGGCTTAGGAATAGGCTTTAGGACAGGGTTTCCCAGTTCTGGTCCCTGAGAGCCAGAATCCAACACAGTTTGCAGATTTAGGAGCTTGGATTCATAGCCAGAAGCAGTGGAGGTGTAGCCCAATTCAGTGGGGGGGGGACGACCAATCTGGGGAGAGTTGTTCTGTTAGGGGACAGATACATTTGACCTTAATGTCCTCAAAGAATTACTTACACTGGATTGCCATCACTAAGGATCAAAATACAATTTTGAAAACCAATTAACAACCAGTTATTTATGTAATGCTTCGGAGTCACATTTTACAGCTTTTATCAATATGTAATACACTCCGATTTCTTGTTTAGACTGTCTTACGTCCACAAGCTTGATTTATTTATTTCTGTCATTCACTTCGCTTTTCACCAACCGAAGTGACTCATGCACCCAGCGCACCTATGTTAAGAGGCCATCATAAAAATGTGTTTACATTCGTGTTTCACCTGTTCCCAGTGCACAAAACTGAATGTAAATATGAATGTGTATGAATGTAAATAATAGTAATAATAATAATGCATTTATTTCAGACCCAAGTAGCATATGTACTTAGGAGGGCCACTGCTCCCCCCCCCTAGAACTGCCTTTGCCATAATAAACATTGTAAGGTTTTCTATTATTATTAAATGGGTCCATGATTTTCATTTCCTTAGACAGCTGAAGGCTCTCCATTTTTGACCATACACTATAATTTTATTACTGCTTTCACTTATGCAACATATTCTGGCAAAGTTATGCTATATCTAGGTAGATATTTTGAATTGACGGATCACTGTCCACCTTCCATCCGCGCACTGATATTGTTAGGAGGGACAGCATAGGCTTATCTGAAGGACCACCTGCGAGACAGGATGGCCTGAAAGATTTCCCCATACTGCCACCCCTAGACATCTTGGCAAATCTGACTGCCAGACACTTGAGCTGGTGTCGCAGTGTTTTCTGCCCCATGCCTTCAGGAGGATAAGTCACCACAGTCCTTCTCCAGTTTCACCTTTGGAGCTCCAGTTAAGAAATAATAAGCAGATAGGTGGCATAATTTTAGAAAGCCTAAATTTTATAATGGCAGCATGGGTACCCCTACCGTGTCACGGCTACAAAATTTCAGCGAATTGGTCTAATGGAAACTTGTGCATCGCTGAAAGCAGTTCATTACACACACACACAGAATAACTCAGTCAGTCCTTTCCAGTGCCATTCAACAGCTAGACACCTCTTATATGGTCTCAAAGCTGCTTTGCATGTCAATAATAATATATGTAAATGAGAGGTATTACATAACAAAGTATTACATAACCTTATTACATTTACTGGCATGTTTTCCAACATTAACTGATTTTTTTTCCCTGGCTAAATATTTTATTGATCCTTTAGCCAGGCAATGTACTTGTAATACTTATAGCTTTTGAAGGCAGATCCTTTAAAATGTCTTTTTGAAAATTAAAATATATGCACATTATTCAAGTTTACACTTCAAACTAGAACTGTGCTTGAATAATATTAATCGTTGTATTTCTTTTACATAAACGATCTGAATAACATAAACAGATTAAAACAACAGATATTAGTTTCAGGGATGTACATAGAATTTTCTTTTTTAAGCATAAATCAATAAGTTTATTATTAATAACATACACAAATCTCACAGTCATGAACAGGAATGTCAAGGTAACGCTTGCCATTGAAATGATTTAGTACTAGCAAACCTCGAGTATAGAAAGACCTTTTAAAATATACCCTTTAGATCACCTTGACATTTTCTTAATTCCTCGTCCACGCAAATGTGAGTCTAGAGGAGCACATTGGCGCACTCTTGTGGAGAGAAAAATAAGAAATTAAATTACAGACCGATATTATTTACAGGCGAGCCGTTTCGGTTTTATAACGCGCGCTTATTTATAGATTAAATTAAAGAATAACAAGTACATTACCGGGAACGTATACATCTTAGCATGTATTCTACTTCAGGGTTGCCTACCCTTGTTCCACTGTGTTATAATTTACGAAATATATGTTTGGTGCCTTCTTTTTGAAATGCTGCAAATGTTTGCCAGTACACGAGGATGTTTTGCCAAAACGTGTGACCTGGCTGTCACCTTACACTCCTGGGGGGTATTAGTTTGATAACTTAAGCCAAACGTAAAAACTGTCCAATAGGATGAGAGGCAAGACACATTTCTATTGGACAATCCTTACATTTGGTTTAAGTTATCTGGCTAATGAATCCAGCTTTGTGGAATCTTCCCCGGGCTCCGTTACCGTGTCGCTAACCTTTCCTGCTTCGGCTTCCACAGCGTAGTCGGGTAGCACAGTGGAGCTTCCTCTGCACCTCCAGGATCGAAGTGACGTGCAGCTTCCTGGTTAACACCCGCGGTCACGTTCACTATGCAGCAAAATTTTGAAAATATAAAGGATATACTCTGCTGGCTTTTGAGGAGCTCCCGCCTTAAATAAATACAGCCACACGTACACGATTTACCACAATCACCGTAACTCTTAGAAAGCAGCCTGTCAGCCCACGTGGCTCCGCTCAGACGATCATTGCCCTCTCCTCAAGCGCTCTCACCCTCCCACGCGCGCACCGCGCGGAGCGAACGCGTTGACCGCCTGCGGGGATAAGATGAGTACCCCGCTTAACAATGAGCAAATACCGGATGCTTTATTTTCGTATTTTACGCATGTAGGTGTCTTTCATTTTGCCTTGGACGATGAGCGTCACACTGTCACTCCGTCAGTTTATTTTACACTGAGCACTCAGCAGGTGGTGTCGTTGCCTCGCGCTGCCCCGTCTGGTATGTTCACCACATCCTTGTATGGATTTCGTCTCGGCACTCCGGTTAAAAATACAACCCTTTGAATCACTTTTGGTGAATGAAAGTGTGTCTAGAGTGTATCTTGCCTTGTACTTATATCCGTCTCGGGGTAGCCTTCCAGGTCACTGTGACCCCATACTGTGCTTAGCTTTTTTTTGTCAAAAATAAATGGGCAATCCGAAACTAATGATAGAAAACAAGGAATACTTAAATAGTAAATAGGCATGGTTTGGGCTGGTACTGTTTATGCAGTTGTGCTGCTTTTTGAGGGTGAGCATTTGAATGTCTGATATTAATAGTTTACACCCAAAACTGACCATGACAGTTCAGGTTCACTGAACACACAGCACCGCATATTCTGTTGTATTTAAACCAGACGATTAGAGTATATACACAACATAAAATGCAGGTTCAAGATGTATTAACTTACGAGAGATTCCGGGAGATTCCTGGACAACTGAGTATGAGTAGTGTTACCTTCAAGTTATTTAAATATTTCTTGAATATTTACTTTCAATAAGAGGAGACATGTTTATTTGTAAATTGCTTTCCCAAACATGGACATCTACAAGGACTTTATTACCCTCGTGATAGTATGCTAGGCATATTTGAAAATGGCAATTTAGAGTGCTGGAATTTAAAAAGTGATGCCAAAAGTCAATGATTTCACCACAGTTTGAAGCGAAGGAGGGTGTCACTGCAGCCATACAGCTTCAGGACTGGGCAGTGGAATCCCCTGGCTATCACATTTTTATGTTCTCCCAGGCTTGGATGCATTTCCTGCTGGTGTCTCTAAATTTCCTGTAACGAATGCCCTTCAATAGGCTGGGATCTGATTTAGGGGATCTCTCACATTGCCCCTATGCTTCCAAGGTAGACTCCAGGCATTCTGATACCCTTTACTGGATAGACAGCTGTAGAATGTGGATGAATAATGTGGCTCTTTAAAAGAGGAAACCTTCTGTTACCAGGGGGCAGTATAAGCAAAGAAGTGTGGATGCGTGGTGGCTGTGCCAGAGAATATTAGAGATTATTTATATCTCTCTCTCTCTCTCTCTCTCTCTAATGTGGATCAAATGCTGATTTCCAAATAGATAAATTTTGAATAAATAAATAAACTAATGAATTTCCACATATGTTACTGCAACATTTTATTTAAGGAAACTAGTCTAGACAGATTGAATCATCTTTCTTGCAAAATAATCTTGGGATTCTTGCAAAACCAGGCAAGAGAGATGTTATAATGCATGTTTTTGGTTTTGAAACATCGGAAGGTCTAAAGACCATAACAGCGTACAAGAGACTATGTGGAGTCTCTCTGGAGTCTGTGTAGGTTCTCAGTCATCCATGACATGATCATCTTAACGGGGTGAATTTAAGGCAACTGGAATTCTTTATCAATTTCTTGACGACATTCCACCTCTCATCCGAAAGGCTAATTCAGTTCTAAAAGTCTGATGGGAAGTTCCGGGTATTTATCCTCTAGTAGGGTCGTCACCTTGAAAGTGGTTGTTGATACACCCTGCTGTCCAACGGGTCGTTAGGGTCACTTGGGGCAAGGTGTGGATCATGATGTGAAACCTTGGTTCCACCTGAGCCAATGTGCCAATGCGGTTGCCCTTCACATTTAAAACACCAGGGAAGGGATCTCAAGACTGCGTTATAGGTGGCTGATAATTGGTGTCTTAAGCCTCCACCTCTGTTCAGTGATGGTCGTTCCAACTGCATGTGGCCTGTTTTACTCCCCTCTCAAACCACCTGTCTTCTCTGTCCAAAATGTGCACATTTGTATCCTCAAAAGAGTGTCCCTACTCCTTCAGTGCAGATGTGCAGCTGAGTTTTGTCCTGACATGCTGGCTCTCCTGTGTTGTGTCATACGTCTGTGGAGTGGTTGCTTATTCTCTCCTATGTATAAGCCGAACGTTCCTCACTGCATTGCACAGCAGACAGCACATTGCTCAGCTTGTACTTAGGAGTTTTGAACTTGGGATGAACCAGCCTCTGTCTGGGAGTGTTGCTGGGTCTGAAGGGCACTGGGATATTGTGCTTGGAGAAGATTCTTCTAAATTTCTCAGACAATCCTGGCACTT